CCCCCCCCCCCCCCCCCTCCCCCTTTGGGCCCCGTGAACTCTGTTTATGGCACTTCATGAAGTTCATGCCCTTTTGTTAAAAAAAAAAGAAACTGTTTTATGTCCTGTAGTATTGGGCTTGGGAGAAGGCAGAAAACACTCAGTGAGTATGCTCACACACAGAACTTGAACAACACAATTCGAGTGTACCATAGGTAAAAATTACTAAAAAACATTTGGAAACAAACAAACGGTCCATATTGGGAAGAAATGAGAAACAAAAAATACACAGCCAAATTAATCCTAAATGAAAATGGAACAATAAATTTGTAGAAAAAAAGCCTATCAGCAAAGGAGTGCCTGCGTTGTACAACAAAAACCAACAAAAATACTGTAACAAGTACTAACAAGTTAACAACTGTAAAAAAGAAAAAAAGAAAAAAAAGAAAGAAGTTCAATCTCTTCCCTGCGAACACCGAGAGAGTGCAGGGGACTTCCTTGGGAGGTCTCGGAGACTTGACGGAGAGCATACTCACACAAGGAATTTCTGGGATGTATCTGAGAGCAACTATCGTCTTTTCAGGATGTATTTGACTGCAATTTAGGGCCAAGTTTATCCCAACAGTCGTGAGAGCAAGTATGGACTTAGTTGTCCATCCATCGCCATCTCTGGGTTGCGACTAGTTTGATTGTGCTTTGTAAAATGTGTGTCATTTGCAGATCTGCCCAGTGGAGTTCTGGTGTTGGCTGTGCAGTTGCTGTCCTTTGTGAGTTTGATTGGTCGAGCAAGTGCAAGGGCCAGGCCCCGATGATGTTATGTGTGTGTGTAGTGCGTGTGTAATTGGCAAACATTAATCTGGTCGTAAACATGACCAGCTTCATATTTTCATGGCACGAGCATAGCAACACCAATGAACGGACACCTCTACTGCTCAGTGGATGTGAGTCTGCCCCCAATGATGCTATTTGTGTAATTGCCAAACATGAACCCTGGTCGTAAACATGGCCAGGTTCACATTTTCATAGCATCATATTACCGTTTGCATAGCACCACCACTGGATGGACATCCTTAGGGCTCAGTGGATGTGCATCATATTACACATGGCTCAGGATGCTATTTGTGTAATTGCCAAACATGAACCTGGTCGTAAACATGGCCAGGTTCGTATTTTCATAGCATCATATTACCATGCGAGTCTTCTGCTTTTCCTGTTTTCTAAACTGCATGTCCTCCACCAACATCTAGCACCCCTGAGCATTCTTTATTATTATTATTATTATTATTATTATTATTATTATTATTATTTTTTAAGCACCCTTCAGCACTCACGTTCAAGCCTTTTCTGTAAGATGATTTGATTCGGATTGTTCATTCATGTCTTGCTTGCCTTGGTTGTCTTCTTGCGCAGGAGAGAAAGACGTTCCTGTGACAGTCAAGGGTGTCGTCGTGACTCCCGACCCTCCCGTCCGTGGCAGCGCCTTTTCCTTTGAATTGCCGGCTACAAGCAGTGAGTTTTTTTTCCCCCCCTTCTTTTGTCTTTTTTTCTTTTTCTTTTTTCCCTTCAGAAAAGCTCAGATGAGCAACGCCGGTCTACAGCCTCTGCCGCCCGAGACGCTTCACGGGGGGAGGTGGGGGGGCGCTTGGGGGGGGCTTGGGGGGGGCAGCTCTACGACCCATTGCTTGTCCTTCCCGCCGGGGTTCCCATACTGTTGGGCTGGATAACCCACCTTATGGGATTCTGCCGGGGAAACGTCCTCACTGTCGCCAAACACACATTATGGGGGGAGCACCATTGGGCCGGGGCGACACCAGTCCGCAGGACTGCACCTCGAGTCTCTAAGCGGCCTCCCACCTCAACTCCACTCACCCTCTTGTGTCCCAACCATCAGCACTCTGCTCCACCAAGTTTCTCCCCTATACCTGAATCAACAGATCTCGGACCACAACGACTACCGTCTTCCCCCGAACGCAACGCATATGTGTTGTAAATGAATACAACACGTAGGCTGCTTTCTATTTGAATACAACGCATGTGCATTCTATTCGAACAGCCCTAATTTTTTTGAATATAACGCATGTTGTGCGTTCTATTCAAATTCGAACTTTTGGAATTTTTTGGGAAACTCGAATACAACGCATATGCGTGTTATGTTCGGGGGAAGACGTTTGCCCCCATCCCTTCCTTCCCTTTAGTGGCCACTTTCGTGCCAAACATCAAGCCCTTCGGTGTCTACTACATGCCATAGCCCTCATCAGAGTCATCACCACTGTCTACCAGCATTTGACGACTGTTTTATTTTCATTTTTATGAACAGAAAAGACTCCTTGACCTTCTAGGGAGCACACATTTTTCCTTCCCCCCCCCCCCCCCCCCCCCCCCCCCCCCCCCCCCCCCCCCCCCCCCCCCCCCCCCCCCCCCCCCCCTTCTTTTCCTCCCCCCACCCCCCCCACCCCCCCCCCCTCCCCCCCCCCCCCCCCCCCCCCCCCCCCCCCCCCCCCCCCCCCCCCCCCCCCCCCCCCCCCCCGCCTGCATTTGCCATTTCTCTGCCTCCTCCTTGTCCATCTTGTTCTCCTTTCCTCTCCTTTCATCATCATCATCATCATCATTCTGATTTTTAAGTATTTCATTTTCATTGGATTATTGAATGATAATTCAATGATTGTTATTCCTAACCTTATCTTCATCATTGCCATCATTACCTGTTGTAACAGCATCCTGATGCAGGCAATACCAGATCATCTTCATCTTCCCTCCCCTCCCCTTCCCTCCTCTCCCCTCCCCTCTCCTCTCCTCTCCTCTCCTCTTCTGTCCCCTTCTTTTATCAACAACATTGCCATCATCTTATTTGTGATCATTTCGTTGTCATTGCATTATTCCAGTCGTTATCGTCGTCATCATTACCTGTATTTATAGCATCAGGATGCATCAGATATCAGATTGCACTGCCCTGATGGCTGTCTGGATATATAGACTGTGACTGTGTATTCAATTCTGGGAACTTGGCTGGAAAAGAACTTAACTGGGCTGGGCTGAATTTACCATGGCTGGAACAGAACTAACTGGGCTGGGGTGAATTCACCATGGATGGAACAGCTTGTGAAACGGTTTTCACCTTTGCAGTGATAGATGCAGATCCCAGGGTTCGATCCCTAGACCTTACCTCACCCGTGTACAGTATGAAGTCGACCCCGTGTGTTTTGAATCTGTGACCTGTGTTTGGTAGCTGAATGTAGTCTGTCGTAGGTCTGTGTAACTGCCGGGTCTCGAACTGTAGACCTGTCGAAGTAGGGGTCCTGCCTGTGTAGGGCTCATAGTAGTTGCAACTCTGAAAGGTCAAGTCGTAGCTGCTACAGCTCCTGAAAGGTCAAGGTCGTAGCTGCTTCAGTCTCGAAAGGCCAAGTCCACAGACTTCCGGAAGGTCCGGAGGTGGCCTTTCGAGTGTTGCTCACGTTAGACCAGAGGCAAGTGGGCAATTGGGCAGTCCAACTTTGCTTAGTCAGCGGTACCCAGTCCCAGTCCCACTTTGTCCAGTCAGCAAGTACCATGTGGGACTGTGTGCACCCTGGGCCCGGTGGAGTGTGCGTGTGTGATACAGAGTGCGTGTGCGTGGGATATCCAGTGAGATCCATGTGTGCGTGTGTGATACAGAGTGCGTGTGCGTGGGGTATCCAGGGAGATCCAGAGTTGAGTGCGTGTGAACCGTTGCCATGAATACAGAGTTGGGAAGTGAAGTGTGGGCGCTCGGGCGCCGTAGCCAATTGAAGCGAGTTTGTATCCGAACTGTGTTCTCGGCGTGAATATCTCTGAGCTTTGTGTGGGCGCCTGGCGCCAGTGTACTTTGCCATCTGTTTGCATGCATGCGAACATTGCGAAGTGAGAAGAAGGTGAGTCTGACTGCACTTGGGGTGAATTCAGCTTGGGGTTTGCCCAAATCCAGGTATGATGACCGGATGTTTTATTCGATTGAAGACGGTACGTGTCTGGGGAGAAGGATCAGCTGAAGCATGCGTCTCCGTTTTGTGGCCAAATCCCTGAGCCCTGCACATTGAGGGAGTTTTGAAAATATACTCTGCACCTGTACCCCCTTTGGACTTCTTCTGCGCTTTCGCAATTTTCTACGATTGTTTTTGTACTGAGGTTCATGATGTTCTGGGTCATGCAGCTGGTTGTAATCATATGCAGAGGCACGACGATGGATCAATGATAATTGCTAGATTGTTGAGTTGATGAGCAGGTTGTTGGGTTAATCCGCTAATATGTTTCTTTGTCGTTCCTTGTCACCTGCTTTGCCTTTCTCTTCATAACCCTGGGGGATCACTGGGCCGCCGGCCCGCCGGACATAAGGGCCTGTTTTTTTTTTTTTTTTTTTTTTTTTCCCTCCTTCCTTAGTCACTGACTCACTGTGTGTGTGTTTTCCCATGTTTGCTCAACACAGCTCGTTGAAAGGGGGAAAAGAAAAAAGAAACGCATGACTCATCTGGAGGTTGTCTGTGTGTTTGACTTTGTCGTCATGTTTGCTAACCACTGAACTCCACAAAAAAAAATAAATAAAAAAATAAATTTAATAAATTTAATAAATTTAATAAATTTCATAAATTTCATAAAAATGAAAAAATCCATGACTGTGACCGACCATTTGTGTGTGTGTGTGTGCGTGCGTGTGTGTGTGTGTGTGTGTGTGTGTGTGTGTGTGTGTGTGTGTGTGTGTGTGTGTGTGTGTGTGTATGTGTTGCGGGAAGAGAACAATGGCTTTGCATCTTTTTAGAAAATGAGAGGGTGATGTGCTGGATGTAGGGCTTGAGCTGGAGGAGGGTGGGATCAGAGGGAGGGGGTATCGTGACAGGCAGGGTCTTGAACTAGAGGAAGGATGGGGGGGGAGAGGGAGGGAGGGGAGGGAGGAGAGTATTGCTAGAAGGCCGTGCCAAGCCTTAAGCTCGAGGAAGTCTGGATAGTAGGGAGCGGGGAGGAGAGTACTATCAGCAGAAGGATGCATAGGGTCTCTTGTAGCTTTTGGGTGGCGGGATGGCCACTGGATTCTTGCAGCAATTATTATTATTATTATTATTATTATTTTTTTTTTTTCATTTCGCATTTTGCATTTTGTCCATCCATTCATTGTTGACTTAGGAGGCAGTTGCCAGTGTCGTCACACTTGCCTGAATTCTTCTTTTTGTTTTTGTTTTTGTTTTTGTTTTTGTTTTTGTTTTTGTTTTGAATATCATCCTTGTGCAGGGGGCGTTTTGCTAATTACCCTTCTCTGTATCGTTCCAATTTTAACGGATGTCCCGGAGGACACACTTGTGTGCATTCTCATCTCAGTGGCTGTCTGATTCAGTCTGTGTGGCTATATATATATATTATAGCCTCCTGATGAGTCGGTGAAACTCCGACGAAACAGTTTGTCACAGCCCCTCGTTTGTTGTCCTCTTCTCCCTCTCTGCCTACGGTTTACCAGGCAGTTCTATATATAGGCTTGTGATGGGGTGTGAACCGACAGTCTGTAGAGTTTTCCATCTGGTGTGGGTGAGTGATAGTCTACTTTGATTTTGGTTAAGGTGGATTATCACTTACAGTGTAATCAGTGAGGGGATTCTACAGACTGTTGAGGGTTCAGCCTCCTGATGAGTCGGTGAAACTCCGACGAAACAGTTTGTCACAGCCCCTCGTTTGTTGTCCTCTTCTCCTTCTCCCTCTCTGCCTAAGGTTTACCGTAGGCAGTTCTATTTGACGATATATATATATATAAAAGGTCTTGTAGCGTTTGACTTGCAGTATGGAAGCTGGATTGTTGAACCAGTTTGTCCATTCATTGTTGACTTAGGAGGCACTTGTCAGTGTGTGTGACAAAGTGTTGCCACCCTTGGCTGAATTTCTCATCTGCTTGGGCTGTCTGATTCTGGCTGTGTGGTGTAGATCGCGTGATCACTGGAGGATACGTGAAGGTGTTTGTGTTTTTCCATGGCGTACCGGTGCACTTGGAGGAGGATGATCTTTGTGAAAAGACGTCTTGCCCAGTTCAGATCGGCGACTTCGTCTTCCGAAATGCACAGGATCTGCCGGGAGTGACACCACCGGTACTCCATAACCTCCATCTCCCATGCCCTTGCTCCCCCCCATCCCCTTTCTCTCTCATATATCTATAATATATATGACGATATATATATTAATAATATTATATATATATATATATATGTGGATAAGTCACTCCAGTAAAAAGCATGCAATACAGATCAATGTAGCAAAACATAGACCGCGTCAACATGACTATCAGCACGGACCATAGCCGCAGAGCAAATCCACCTCCAGCGGCTACCCCATGCCGTTGCTCCCCCATCCCCTTGCTCTCTCATCCCCTGAATCTTCTCCTTGCCTTGCTCATCCCCCTGCCCCTCACTGTTGTATCTACAGATTCTACACACAACATCAGAAGAAAAAAAAAATTTGGACCACCTGTGTGACAAGACATCGTTCCCGTTTCACATTGCCGACTTTGTCTTCACGAAACGTGCAGGGGCTGCCTGGAGTGACACCATGGGTACTACATTCCCACCATGTCCCACGCCCCTTGCACCCCCCCATCCTCTTGCCCTCTCTCATCACCTGAGTCTTCTCCTTGCTTGGCTTCTCACACTCTGCACCTCACTGTTATATCTTTAGACTCGCGCTATTTTTCGCATACAACATCAGAAAAAAATAAAAATCAGGCCACCTGTACTGTATGCAAAAAATAGCGCGAGTCTAAAGATAACCGTTTGTCTCGTTCTCTTCTTGAGCTAGCACATATATATCCCTCTGTCGTTCTTTGTTCGTCTTCTCTCCAGCCCTGTTCCCTGTGTTTATCCCCTCCCCCTTTACTCTGCCTCTTTCTCACAGCGTCCAATTGGGGACCGTTATGGCAGGCACACAGGGATGAGGGCAGCTCGCGCTCAACTTCATCAACGTGGCGAGCCTTGTGCGTACGTTACAGGCACTGCGAGGGGGGAGTTAAAAGAAGAATGAGAAAAAAAAATGGATGAATGGTTTCAGTGTGCCCCTCATGTTCGTCTTTTTTTTTTTTACCCTCCCCCCCCCTCTGCAAAGTGCACTCTTGTAGTTCATTTACATGTATGTGACAATGCATAGTTTGATAGTAGATACTGATGCCTCATCCTGCAATGGAAACTGTCTGAGTCCGAACTACTGTCAATTGGTTCCTTGTGCCTGTTGCTGCTTTTTTTCTTCTTCTTCGTCTCTTTTTTTTTTTTTTTTTTTTTTTTTTTTTTTTTTTTTTTTTTTTTTTTTTTTTTTTTTTTTTCTGTTGCTCTTTTTGGAAAAGGGAGATAAGTTCAAATAAGTTGAAATAACCTCAAATAACGTCAAATAATCAAACCCGTTGGAAAAAGCATTTATAATGTGGAAAAAAGCACACCTTGACATCTGTAGTGTGAGTGGCAGAGAGGGTATCATCTGTAGGTTCATGGAAAGCAAGGTGCCGCGGCTGTAGGCCTCACCAAAGGGCATAGGAAACGGAAAAAGGAAAACAAGAGCATCTGCCTCTACAAGGTGGGAAGATGCATTCGTAACTATTCGTCGTAAACGGCCGAATCTTTCCGGTTTCTGTGGTAAGATTCACTCTTTTGTTCTTTTTTAATGTCGTTTTGTGGGGCCCGTTTGGCGAGGCCATGTGTCTGTGCTTGCCTCAGTGAGGTTTCTTCTGACTTCAGATGTGGGACCACTGAACATAACGCATATGTGTTGTAAACGAATACATATGAAATCAGGACCTGCTTGCCTCAGTGAGGTTTCTTCTGATGTGGCAGCACTGTCAGTTCTCTGTCTCTGTGTCTCTGTCTCTCTCTGTCCCTCGGCCTCTCTCTCTCTCACACACACACACACACACACACA